AGACACGTAGTGATGTTAGATCGACGGATCCGGTTTAAAGGTTGTCGGACATTTCAATTACTTTAAATGTTTTAATGATTATATTTGGCAAATATGAAGTTGTATTGTCACGGTATGGTTTAGGTCACATCGAAAGTCACAATTTGTACCAAGGTGTCGTACTGCAGCACTCGTCGTTTTCTTACGTGAGTTTCACTTTCCATTTTTTTCTTTTTCTTTTTCTTTTTATCATTTCTCACTTAAAACACATATCTCCGCATGAACCTCTTTAATGTAGTCCCGAGTAAATATTTTGGGTAAATTTACAAATGGTCCCTGTCATTCCAATCTACAACTGTATGAGATAGATGAAGGAGAAGGTTATTAACATTCTATATTAATCTTAATATTTGTTTGTGTTCATTTTAAAATTAAAGTATTTGCGTTGGCCCCTCCACTTTAATATAAGATTAAGAAGACAATTGTTTAAAAATTTGATTCCTGTTTTGAGCATTAAAAATCGAGACAGGTTCGGAGTGAGAAAAACCGACCCGACCCGTCCGAGTCCATCCCTAAAGGTGAAGAAGGATAATGAGCGAAGCAATGGTTTTAGAATAATAATCTTCTTTAACACAAGAATCCCATTTCCCAAATTCCAGTCTATTTGTTTATTTTGCATCTTTTCTTTTGAATAAAAAACAACAAGTAAAAGAGGCTCAGTTTTCTTTTCTCCACAACAAAATCAAGCCACCTTTCTTACTTTGTGAATTAATAAAATGAATGGAGATGGAGATTCATTCTTATTCTTTTAATAGAAAAAAGTAATTAAATCGTTAATTACTATTAATTTATCTCTTTTAATATATATACGATTTTTCTTCGAGCAATTTCAAATGATTACAAAGTAATATATCATAGTCTTTATTTATTATTGACAATGTACACACTATACAAACACAACTATTTGAATATGAATCTTCTAAAAAAGAATAATAGTTTCTTTCACTATTAGTTGCTACGTATTATTACTTTTTTAAAAGATTAATTTTTAGGATATGTATACTATTATTTGAGTGAGATCGTTATATCAAATGGGTTCACCTTATAGTAATGACATAGTATATAATTTAAGGATTGGTTTATGTTTGAATCCTAAAGAAAAACCAACAATATCCAATATTTCCATGTCCATTCAAACTCTTTCCTACAAAGGCCAACACAGCTGACACTGTTCCCCTCCCTCTTTCTGCACACATTTATCAAGAACTCTCTTTTTATTGTACCCCACAATCACCCAAAGCCATGATGAACTAATAAAGCCAAGTTCAGTGGTCTAAAATCAAAGCTAAAGTTGAAGAGCTGATGAAGATCTTCTCCATGCTAATCTTCCTCATTTCTCTTCTCTTCCATTTCTTGTTAGCCTCTCAGTCTGCAACAATTCTGGTAGATGGTGTTTCACAGTGGGAAAATCCACTGTTCACGCGGGAGACTCCATAAGTGAGTAATTTATGATGTTTCAACAAGTTTAGTATCATGGGTTCTGATTTTACTGACATTATTCTGTTACTACTGTCCTCAATGATTCTCAGTTTTCAAACACAAGTACCACTACAATCTCTACATTTTCCAGAACAAAAACGCCTTCGATCTCTGCAACTTCACCCAAGCTACTCTCCTCACTAAACCAAACTCCACCTCCTATACGGTACGCAACTCCCTGTTTTAAGTTTTGTCATCTTTGTTTGCAGTGGCACCCTTCTCGCCCCGGTTTTTCTTACTTTGTTTTCAACAATGGCTCTCTCCAACATGCCAATGCTCTCAAAGCTCTCCATTAAAGCATCTCCTGCACCGGAATTGTCTCCAGCAGCGGCTCCGGCACCAAACTTGGGTGGACCAGTTTTGTCATCTCCTGTATATCCTTGGTCGTTCAGACCTCGCCGGGCGGCGGTTTCGCCAGCGCCGAGTGCTGGCTCTCCGGTAACGGTGCCGAGTTTAGTGCCGGATAAAGGTGGTGGCATCCCTTATTAACAGTAACCCTGCAGTTCCATTGCCAACTGATGAAGTTGATTCTGCAACTATTCGACCTTTTCCACCTCTGATTACGGAGGACAGGTATTCTTTCTTTATTCACTGTCCCGTGCACAGTGCCTTGTAATATCATAATGATATTATATTAGTGAAGCAATTATGATAAAAAAAATTAAACTCATAAAACACTATTCAAATTGATGCATGTTTTGTTTATACATACATATGACTCGATAACTAATTTGAATGATGTTTGAATGTAATCATAAGTTGATTAATTTTAAGTTTTCTTTAAAGGGATATATATTTATTTATATAGCTACATTGTGTGGGTGGTTGCAGGCGGCGGAGGGATTCCTGGTGACCACCGCGGTGGCAGCCCCATGAGTGTATTTTGCGTGACGTTTCTAGTACTGCTGTAAAAAGAAGGGGGTGGTGAAAATGTGGTAAAAAACATTCCGAGTAGAAATTGAGCTTAAAGGGTAAGGGTAAGAGCACCTTTAGATAGATATGTGTGTGAATATGAGCTGCATCCAGACCCTACTTTGGAATCATTTCATAAACTTTTTCACAGTTACCTCTCCTTTTCTCTCTCTTTATAATTAATTTTAATATATAGAAAAATATAATTAATGAGTAAAAGATAAGATTACTAATATAATACATATACAATGAATTATCAAATATAGTAATTTAAGTACGAATTACAACATAAAAATTTTTAATGAGAAAAGAAATTAAGGTAGTTCTACCGTATATTTTAAGATGAACATATATATTAATAACAAAAAAATTTCATATAGAATAGATACAAATAAAATTCTAAAGTAAACATCATTAATAAAATTAACAATTAATATAAAAAAATTCAAAGTACAAAACATACATGCACTCACCTTAATCTCCATGGACATCCACCACTTACCATTCGACCATCCTAATTTAAGACTATCATTTACGCAACCTAAAATATTAATTATTAATATTTTAATTACGTCTTTTGTTAGCCTTAAATTAAACTACCGTTACTTATATATTCCCAAGAAAATCAGATGCCCCAGCTTTTCTTTTTTTCCTTTTTTTTTATCTTAAAAAATTGAATTTGAGGTCCCTTGTAATCATGCATCTGCTTTTTCCTTTTAATTTTAGGTCTATTTTCTTTTTATTTAAAGCAAACAATATTTTAGTGGGGGTGGCGAGTGGGATGAAATTTAAATAATTAATCACGTGCCCATAATCTCAACTTCTCAAGAGATACATTTGAATAATATTATGCAAATAAATATTCAAATATAATAACTAAAACTTGTATTTTGGAGAGAATTTGAACCTTAGCTTAAGATAATTAATAAGTATTTACTAAGAGGGTCGGATCCTCAATTAATAGGCTCCAGAACTAATATTACATATAATGAAATACAACAATACTTGCAATTACTTTTTTAATACATAAGTAGAGACAAGTAAAAAGCTTTGAAAGGGGATAAGAAATAAATTTTTATCATTTAAAATATAATAATAATAGAAATTGAGAATTTTTTCTAAAATTAAAAAAAAACGTTAGCTTTCCGGGAAAACTATAAAGAAGCACAACGAGTTTAAAGGCTTGAAAAAGATGAAGCAATGAATATATCCTTTACTTGTTTCATCTAGCCTTTAATTTAATCAAAGCAAAAACATAGGCATGGAGGTTGAATTAGGACTGAAGATCACCCATACCAGAGATGACACAACTTCTACTGCTGATCTTCGCCTTGCCAAAGACCCATTCGGTCCAATTTTCTACTCGACGGAAACCGATCAAATGTTCACCCTCATTGCTCATCTCAAAGGTCCCCCCCCCCCTCTATTTTTTTTTTCATTTGCTTGGTGTGTATGATATTTGTTTCCAAATGGAACAAATTAAATGCAGGTTTCAGAAGAGAGAACATCTTCATTGAGATAAACAAAAATGGGGATCGGATTGCCATAAGTGGGGAGAAGCCTGTTCAGGAGATTTGATGATTGGGTGGATTATGTGCAAGAAGCAGGTTGTATTAAGGCTTTTAGAAGGTTTTTCGTATACAATTCTGTCGATTTGGAACGAATCAAAGCTAAGTATAACGAACAAGAATCCACTTTGAGAATCATCATGAAAAACCAGAACAAGAACAAGAAGCTGAGATGATTATGAAGAGCTGCCCAGGTCCCAAGGCCAGAACCAGAACACGAACGAAGACAAGAAGAGCTTAAGATGATTAATGAAGAGCTTCCCGAGGACAATGAAGAGGTTTCAAATCCAGAACGAGAACGACAACAGCAGCCTGAGATGATTAATGAAGTACTGCCCAAGGAAGATGAAGAGTTCCCAAAGACAGAACCAGAACAAGAAGAGCATGAGATGATCAATGAAGAGCTGCCCAAGGTTCCAAGGCCAGAACGTGAACACGAACAAGAAGGACAAGAGGAGCCTAAGATGATAACGAAGAGCTTCCCGAGGATGATGAAGGGGTTTTGAATCCAGAACGAGAACGACAAGGACAAGAAGAACCTGAGATGATTAATGAAGTGCTTCCCAAGGAAGATGAAGAGGTCCCAAAGCCGAACGAGAACAAGAGCCTGAGATGATCCATGAAGAGGAAGAGGAAGATGTCCCAAAGCCTGAACGAGAACAAGACAAGAACAAGAGCCTGAGATGATTAGTGAGGAGCTGCCCAAGGAAGATGAAAAGGTCCCCCCAGAACAAGAACAAGAGCTAAGATGATTAATGAAGAGCTGTCCAAGGAAAAATTAGCTGACAGAAGGAACGTACAGAGGAACGGTGGAAAAGAAGGAACTGGAGCTGAAATGGTACCAAAATCAAAGTTGGTTGATAAGAAGGAACAGTGAAGGAACAACAAGCTAAAAAGAAGGAACCTGAAGCTGAAATGGTACCAAATCAAAGTCTGTTGAAGAAGGAACATGTGAAGGAACAACAAGCAGAAAAGAAGGAACATGTGAAGGAACAACAAGCAGAAAAGAAGGAACCTGAAACTGAAATGGTACCAAATCAAAGCCTGTTGATAAGACAGAACATACAAAGGAACATGCTGAAGAACCTGAAGCTGAAACGGTACCAAAATCAAAGCCTGTTGATAAGCAGGAACATACAAAGGAACATGTTGAAGAACCTGAAGCTGAAATGGTACCAAAATCAAAGCCTGTTGATAAGAAGGAACATCCAAAGGAACATGTGAAGAACCTGAAGCTGAAATGGTATCAAAATCAAAGTCGGTTGAAAAAAGGAACCTGCAAGAAACAACTAGCCGAAAAGAAAGAACCTAAATCTGAAATGATACCAAAACCAAAGTCGGTTGATAAGAAGGAACATACAAAAGATCAACAGTTTGAAAAGCAGGAACTTGAAGCCGAAACGATACAAAATCAAAGTCAGTTGATAAGAAGGAACCTGCAAAGGAACAACGGGTCAAAAAGAAGGATCAACAAGCCGAAAATAAGGAACCTGAAACTGAAATAGTACCAGAATCAAAACCTGTTGATAAGAAGGAACATACAAAGGAACATGTTGAAGAACCTGAAGCTGAATGGTACCAAAATCAAAGTCTGTTGATAAGAAGGAGCATACAAAGGAACATGTTGAAGAACCTGAAGCTGAAATGGTACCAAATCAAAGCCTGTTGATAAGAAGGAACATGTTGAAGAACCTGAAGCTGAAATTGTACCAAAATTGAAGTTGGTTGAAAAGAAAGAACCTGCAAAGGAACAATGGTCGGTTGCAAAGAAGGAAGCTGCAAAGGAACAAGTAGAAAGAAAGAACCTAAATCTGAAATGATACCAAAACCAAGTCGGTTGATAAGAAGGAATGTGCAAAGGATCAATGGTTCGAAAAGCAGGGACTTGAAGCCGTGATGATACCAAAATCAAAGTCGGTTGATAAGAAGGAACCTGCAAGGAACAACGGTCAAAAAGAAGGAACCTGAAGCTGAAATGGTATCAAAATCAGAGTCGGTTGATAAGAAGGAACCTGCAAAGGAACAACAGGTCGAAAAGAAGGAACTTGAAGCTGAAATGGTACAAAGATCAAGTCGGTTGATAAGAAAGAACCTACAAAGGAACCCGAAGCTGAAATGGTATCAAATCAAAATTGATTGAAAAGAAGGAACCTACAAAGGAACGACGGGACAAAAAGAAGGAACCCGAAGCTGAAATGATACCAAAATCTAATTCGGTTGATACGAAAGAACCTGGAAATGAACAACAGGTCGAAAGAAGGAACCTGAAGCCGAAATGATACTAAAATCAAAACCGGTTGATAAGAAGGAACCTACAAAGGAACAACCGATAAAAAAGAAGGAACCTGAAGCTATGGTTCCAAAATCAATGTTGTTGATAACGATGAACCTGCAAAGGAACAACTGATCAAAAAGAAGGAATTGGATCCAAAATCAAAGTCGATTGATAAGAAGGAACCTACAAAGACAACGAGGAAAAGAACGAAGTTGAAAAGCAAAGGAACTTGAAAGAGGAATTCAAAGGAACAACGGTTGAAAAGAAGGAAGGAAGCTGAAAGGAAATCAAAGTTGAAAGAAGAACTGCAAGGAAAAGAAAGAATGAACCTGAAGCTGAAATGGTACCAAAATCAAAGTTGGTTGATAAGAAGAACCTGCAAAGGAACAAAACGGGTTGAAAGGAATGAACCTGAAGCTGAAATGATACTAAATCAAAGTCAGTTGATAAGAAGGAACCTACAAAGGAACCAAGTCGAAAAGAAGGAACCTGAAGCTGAAATGGTACCAAAATCAAAGTCGTTGATAAGAAGGAACAACCGATCGAAAGAAGGAACCTGAAGCTCAAATGGTTCCCAATCAAAGTCGACTGATAAGAAGGAACATACAAGGAACATGTTAAGAACCTGAAGCTGAAATGGTACCAAAATCAAAGCCTGTTGATAAGAAGGAACATACAAAGGAACATGTTAAAGAACCTGAAGCTGAAATGGTACCAAAATCAAAGCCTGTTGATAGAAGGAACAGACAAAGGAACATGTTGAAGAACCTGAAGCTGAAATGGTACCAAAATCAAGCAGTTGATAAGAAGGAACAGACAAAGGAACATGTTGAAAAACCTGAAGCTGAAATTGTACCAAAATTGAAGTCGGTTGAAAGAAAGAACCTGCAAAGGAACAACAGTCGGTTGCAAGAAGGAACCTGCAAAGGAACAACGAGTCGAAAAGAAAGAACCTAAATCTGAAATGACACCAAAACCAAAGTCGGTTGATAAGAAGGAACCTGAAGCTGAAATTGTATCAAAATCAGAGTTGGTTGATAAGAAGGAACCTGCAAAGGAACAACGGGTCAAAAAGAAGGAACCTGAAGCTGAAATGGTATCAAAATCAGAGTCGATTGATAAGAAGAACCTGCAAAGGAACAACAGGTCGAAAGAAGGAACTTGAAGCTGAAATGGTACAAATATCAAAGTCGGTTGATAAGAAACAACCTACAAAGAAACCTGAAGCTGAAATGGTATCAAAATCAAAATTGATTGATAAGAAGGAACCTACAAAGGAACAACGGGACAAAAAAAAGGAACCCGAAGCTGAAATGATACCAAAATCTAAGTCGGTTGATACAAAAGAACCTGGAAATGAACAGGTCGAAAAGAAGGAACCTGACTCTGAAATGATACTAAAATCAAAATCGGTTGATAAGAAGGAACTTACAAAGGAACAATCTATAAAAAAGAAGGAACCTGAAGCTATGGTTCCAAAACCAAAGTTGGTTGATAATGATGAACCTGCAAAGGAACAACTGATCGAAAAGAAGGAATTGGTTCCAAAATCAAAGTCGGTTGATAAGAAGGAACCTACAAAGGAACAACGGGTTGAAAAGAAAGAACTTGCAAAGGAAACACGGTCGGTTGAAAAGAAGGAACTTGCAAAGGAACAACAGGTGGAAACGAAGGAACCTGAAGCTGAAATGGTACCAAAATCAAAGTTGGTTGATAAGAAGGAACCTGCAAAGGAACAACGGTTGAAAGGAATGAACCTGAAGCTGAAATGATACTAAATCAAAGTCAGTTGATAAGAAGGAACCTACAAAGGAACAACAGGTCGAAAGAAGGAACCTGAAGCTGAAATGGTACCAAAATCAAAGTCGGTTGATAAGAAGGAACAACCGATCGAAAAAGGAACCTGAAGCTCAAATGGTTCCCAAATCAAAGTCGATTGATAAGAAGAAACCTACAAAGGAACAACAGTTGAAAAGAAGGAACCTGAAGCTGAAATAATACCAAAATCAAAGTCGATTGAAAAGGGAACTTGTAAAGGAACAACGGTCGGTTGAAAAGAAGGAACTTGCAAATGAACAATGGGTGGAAAAGAAGGAACCTGCAAAAGAACAACGGGTCAAAAAGAAGAAACCTGAAGCTGAAATGGTACCTGAATTAAAGTCGGTTGATAAGAAGGAACCTGCAATGGAACAACGGGTCGAAACAAAGAAATTTGAAGCTGAAATGGTATTAAAATCAATTTGGTTGAAAAGAAGGAACCTGAAGTGGAAGCTGAAAAGGTACCAAAACCAAAGTTGGTTGAAAAGAAACCTGAAGAGGTACCCAAGGTGCAGACTATTGAGGAAAATATCAAAGCAGTAAAGGGGTTGATCAATGGCAAGGTGAAGTATATGAAGAGGTTATTGAGAAAGAAAGTATTTTACAGAGAGAACCAGAAGAATCCGAGTCCAATAAAGAGGAAGGAATCGAAGAGAATATTGAAAAAGAAGCAGCAGAGGAAGTGGAGAATGTAATTCACGAGGAACCTGAAGAAGGAATGCAAAAAGAACCTGAGATTGAAAAAGTGGTGGAAACTAATCAAGTTTTGGAAAGACGAGAAAAGATCTCCGAAGAAAAGGTTGCAGAACCAGAAATAATGGAGCCTGGGGTGGTCGAACTTGAACCAGAGATGAACGAGAAGGCATCAACCGAAGCACCCAAAGGAAAGGAACCTCCTGATGAGATTCATAAGGTTGAAGAAACAGGGGATGCAGCTCAGAAAGCAGAGTTACCAAGTGAAAAAGAAGATGAAAAGATTGTTAAGGAGAACGATCAAGTAGAAGATTTAGCTTTCGAACAATCAGGAGACCACGAAAGTGTAGAAGACACTGGAGAATCTTTAATGGAACCTGAACCTGATGAAGAGCCAAAGGAAGATGAATCAGATAAACATTATGAGGAGAATGAAACTGAGAATATGGAGGGTGAAATTGGAGAAGAAAGTGAAGGGGATGCAGATGGTGAAAAACAAAATGGAGGCGACATGAATACGGCATCTCCCGAAACAGATGCTGAGAAAGCTCCAATTGAAGGGGCATCTATGGAGGAGGAGAAGCCAAAAAAGAATAAACTGCAGAAACCCTTAATGTTTGCAGGATCAGCATTTATTGTCTCTCTCGTTGTGATAGTAATTAACTTACTTAGAGCAAGAAAAAGATAAGATTTGCAAGCATTTTGTAACCTTGTTTTCCATTTTATACAGAACGATGATAAACTTTGAGTCAATTGTTTGTCACATATTCTCTTATCCGTGTTATTCTCATGCAAAAAACTTTTCTAAGCTGTTCTTTAATAATTTTTCTTTAATGTTCGTTCAAGAACGGTAGTGTTTTAAAGGAGACAAAGTTGAAGTATGCAGCAAGTAAGAAGGGTTTTTCGGGTTTGTACTATGAAGCTAAGGTGTTGTTGTCATTGAATAACGATACTCGTTACAAAGTGTACTAGGATGAAGAAGATCAGACTCGTCTGTTGGTCAAGATAGTTTCATTTGGTGAGGTCCTATCGGTGCCTCTAATGACCACTAATGAAGCCACTCGGGTTTTCAATCATCTTGAAAGGGTGGATGCTTTCAACAATCATGGTTGGCGGGTGGGGATTATTACTGGAAAACAAAAGTTAAAGTATTTGCTTTCTACAAAAACAAAAGTTTCAAGGGATTAAAGTTGAGACTCTATACATACTTTGAAGTGTTGTAAGGAGAGTGTGGTGGCAGCCTCTAAAGCCCCGTTTGGTAGGTAGCAAAAGGAGTTGAATTTAGTCCCCCTGGAGAATGCAGATGTTATGTTCCACCAACCATGCAATTTCTCTGCATATTATCAAGAAATGGGACAGGGCAGAGGGAGTGATTCACATGAGCTATTGTTTATATGTGGGGAATACATGATGTCTAAACCACACATCCAACAGTAAAATCAATCATCACTCTACTACTGGATACAGCAAGCAAACATTGACACGTTGCATTACTCACTGTGTTTAAAAGTAGGTTCACCATTCATAACATCCACATACACAAATTCATCACTCCCTTTCGTTCTTTGAAGCTGGTAATTGCTTTCAGCAATACCTGCAATAAAATTCTGCTTTAAAGCAATATCCGGAGGAATAAAATCAAGTGAACCGATGCTTGCAAACACAATGGGAAACCAAAAAGAAAATATGAGGAATAACAGATATATTGTTTGAGTATATATACAAGTTATATGCCCCATAGAGTGAATAGGTAGTACTTTCATAAAGAACTCATGCAAAATTTTACAATTCATTCAATAGTAACAACTTTGGCCAAAAGCTTAGTGAAAAATTGAACACTCCCAGTCATAAGAAGACATCTTATTATTGTATCTAAAATGCAGACTGCAGAGTATAACAAAGACGACCAAAATGTATATACCACTAACAATTAGACAAAATTTTGAACAAAAAATCAACTACAGAACCAAGATGAAAACTTACTGAGAAATTTGATTACACGTGATAACAAAAAGTTGGACATCAACAGCAGGACCAAATGTCCAACTCCATATCCTATTTCTATACACGGAAATATGGTGACAGATATAAGTTCATTTCTTCTCCAACTTCTTCTTCTTCTTCATGATCCTGGTGTTCCACCGAAGCCAGAATCAAAACATGCAAGTTGCACATTTGACACTTACAATTTAAGCCGCCTAACCGAACAATAGACTGACTCAGGATCGTGTCCCCTTCCAAAAGAGTCAAGCCCATCAGTTCGGCTACGAACAATCATATGAAATACCTCCCTAACTTGCCTTTCCAACGGTTCTATACATTCATTGCGTCGCAAATGTGTCTCAATTCTTTCACTCTGTGCCAAACCTCCACTTCCTTCTCCTCAATCAACGGAAGCTGAACAGAGTCAGCAAGTTCACCCAACAAATGCGAACACTTCTGCAAATTATTCATCATAAATTACTGCTTGGTAATCAATTGCATGAAAATTATATGTAAATTAAAAAAAATAAAGGAAGAGCATGGCAATTTGGTAACATTATGGTATAAATTAAACAAATTATTCATCTTAAACAAATGACAGGAATAAATTTAAACAGGAAACACCACCTATTATCTTCGTGTAAAAGATTGACAGTAAATTCAATTTCCGTTCTCCAGTCTCTACCATATGGTAACATTTTTTTCTTTAATAAAAGACAAATTTTACTCTTATCTAATGCATTAATATAAAAATTATAAAAAAAAGGCCCTCAGATCTCATAGCTATATCAAGATCATGTTCAGTTCATGTCTTAACAGATTCATCAATAGCTTTTCACACACACACCACCTGCCTACCAAAGTAATGAATATATGGTATATATATATATATATTGGTAAATTAATACATTGCATGAGGAAATAGAGAGAGAGAGAGAGAGAGAGAGAGAATGAAGGGAGGTGATGTGCAATTGCAAAAGCCAAAGATGAACTGAAAAACCGAACCATCCAATCAAAAATGAGTTATACATCATTGGGCCAAAATAATATTAATGAAATCCAATACAATTTGTAGATCCATCCAACCATGCATTCATCTAAGAGTAAATCAAATGCAAAAAATAGAATAAATAATTCAGAAATTCAAAAAGTTGAGGAAAACCCTCAGATCTCATAGCTATATTTGGATCATTCGCAGCATTGTCAATCTGACTTTCATTAAAGGAATTTACAATCATCAGCAGAAGAGAGGAAGAGAAAGAGAAACAAAGAAGAGAGGAGGGAAAAACAGAGAGAGAGAGGGAGAGATGGGGGGAGGGAAATAGAACATATGATGATTGTAAACACCCAAACACAAAAATCAGAAAAGCTGCTCCATTCATTGAGTTATCCATCATCGGGCAAAATACACTTAAACAAACTTTAAAGTCTAATACCATTTTCAACACAAAAACAAGACTGGTGGATCGGATAGAGCTTTCCAGCCATCATATAAATCAAGATTACATCTTTTTTTTTCTTTCACTGCAGCAGCGTCATCAGCAGAAAATAAAATACTGGTTTCAGGAGTCAAACACAAAAATGGGTATTCTGTAAAAGTAAAATAAGAAAACAAATGAAAAGCTTCTATATATGGTGTGAAAGAGGTGGGAGGTGAGGAGATGGAGATAGAGGCGGAGAAAGAGAGTGGAGATGGAGAGGCGGCGGTTGTGAGAAATAGATACAGAAAAGCATACTGAAACAAAGGAGAGATGTTAGGGTTTACAAGGGGAAAAAAAAAAAAGCAAAGCCTAGAATTACCGAGTTGCCCTTGTTTTGAGAGGGAAATAATATTTGGGCTGGGATTGAGACGCGTTTAGGGTTGATAAGTCTACAAGGCCTTCAAGGTCCAATAATAATGGCTGATACCCAAGAGAGAGTTTAGTCTAAGATAATTTTCGAAATTTTCATACTGAAAAAATAATTTAAAACTCTCAACTATTGTTGTTTTCAGATAAATTTGGAAGATTAATCATTAAACAAGAAAATATAGCACTCTGTCTGAAAGAAGATTAGAATGAAAAAGGAGAACAAATGTTTGTCCTGCCCACGAATTGTACATAAGACTGCATACAATCACCCCATCCTACAAAGCAAAGTGACCTAATACCCAGCTAAGTGCTGTATGTGTCGCTTTTTCGTTTTATTCACATGCCAATTTGGTGTCGAAGCTGCTCAAGCAGATTGCAAAAGCCTGGAATGCAGAGAGTGGATATCTGTAATCCATTGTAAACATGTCCTTCCCAACTTTACCAAACTGGAGAATTATCTTATCGTGGTCGGACTGTGTTGGCTGTGATGGTGTTGGTGCACCTGCTGCTGTCGGCTGGTTTGCAGCAATCAGCTGAAAGTTCTTGACCGATGCTACTGTTACACGTCCTCGGAAGTTCAGGCACCAGCATTGTAACTGCTCATGCCATCTTGGTTGTTTGTTCTTGAGAACCAGTGGTCTATCTTTTCCTTCATCCTCTTCATCACGGGATCCAACAATGTCGGAGAATCTGGCACTACTAAACTCAGATGAGTTGTCAATAGCCTTCGAGAAAGAGATGCTTCGAAAGGAGTCTTCAAGGGATCGGGGCAGAAGCTCAGGCTGGCCGGGGACAATGCCACCTGGCTCAAGGGATGATGCAGGAATTGAGTACATACTGCAATGCATCCTACGAGGCCCCCTAGTACCTAGCACGTTCAACTCATACGAGACCTGGGCAATGTTGTAGCTACCGGTGGGGACCTTCGGAGACACTTTTTTTGAATAGAATCTTCGGCTTCGGCCAGGTGGTGAAGGCTGAGCATTGTTGTATGGAGGTTGCGTGTCATAAATTATGAATTTGGTACCAAGAAAATTTGACCTGAAGATGAAAAGCAAACTTAAGATTCTTATTTGCAAAATTAACGAATACGTCAAAATTAAGATAAAAAGTCAGTCCAACAGTGTATACAGATACTTCGCACTAACATTATGTATCAAAATACAAGCATTACAGACGCATTTACAACCTAACAAATAATGTCAAGAACAAACAAACTAGAGAGCATTTCCAGGAGAATATTACATTGTTTCCTTCCTCAAAATTGTCAAGTACCTAGCTTATATTATAAAATATAACAGGTGGCTTGCCATCCACCGTCCGTCGCTTGCCGTCCGCCGTCCTCCGTACTCCGACCACCGTCCGCCGCCACACATCGACCTCCTTTTGACGCCTTTTTTTTCTTAAGGATCATCGTCTATCCATAGAGTTTCCTTTTTCCTGGTTTATTTCGATTGATTCCCCTTCAATCGGAGCAAATCTAAACGCCTTTCTTCGCCGATTTTTCCATCAGCAGTCTTCAAAGTTCGTTCCAGCTGTGCACGCCAGAAGCTCGTGACAAAAACCCAAGTATTAAACTGTGAACACCCATTGCCGTTCACCGGAATTTTACCGTCACTGTTCAGGAGCTCTATTCAGAACGTTGCTGCTGGTTCTGGGTTTTCACGCATGTCATAAACCTTTTCATCTCTGGTTTTTTTGGTTCAAAATTTAATAGTTTGGAAGCCTTTGCATTCAAAATGACGTTCAAGAATCGCGATGAAGCAAGAGAGAAACGGGCTGAAACCTCAGCTCGTCAGACTAAGAATAGTCGTCAGTCGGAGATAGAGGAAAAGGAGAACGTAAATCCTTTGAAAAAACCAGATGTTAAGACGAAACGGGTGGATTTTATACTGTCGAAGGTGACTGAAGCGGAGCATCAAAATCAGAGAGATGGGCAGCAGACAAAGACTGTGCATAAATCAGAGGAGGCGGGAAGAAGCTGAGTAGTACAGTGGCAGAAGAATATGAGAGGATGGTGTTGGTGACAAACAAGAATAGGAATGATTCGTTGGTTGAAGCAAGGAGTGTGGAAGGGGCCATTGCGCAGATTTCTGAGGCGAAATCCTTCCTCAGGATTCTCACGTTTTTAACTACTGGAGGAAGAAAGATTATCCAAGAATCAACAATGGGTTTAGAACTGGCTGCTTTACGTTATACATTGATAATTTACCAGAGAATATCCATTGGAAGCGGTTTGGATCGTTATTTTGCCCATACGGTCAGGTTATTGACGCCTTCATTCCAACTAAAAGAAATTCAAAAGAGGTACGTTTCGGTTTCATTCGCTTTGCTACAATTGGAGAAGCACGGAGAGCGATCTCAAAGATGAATGGCGCTCGCATTGATGGTAGTAAAATTGGAGTCTCTTTTTCTAAATACAACACAAGACATTCTTTTTGGAGAAAGTCTTCGCCAGTTGTCCACCTAAAGCCCAAGAGAGAAAATGTTACAAGAAATAATCTCTATACAGTAAATGGTGTTGTTGACGAAGCTAAACTTCAAGTTTTGGATAACTGCCTAATAGGGTGGTGCAAGAATTATACCAAAATCGATGATCTTGCTAGCCAAATGCAAAACAAAGGACTCAACGGTTTCTCGTTAATGAGAGCTGCTGGGAATGTAGTTCTCATGATATTCGAGGATTCTGATACGTTGAGAAGGGTTAAGAATGAACAATCAGAGACTCTTGCAGGGTGGTTTTCTAGAGTTGAAGTTTGGTCGGAGAATCTAGTGGTAGAATGTCGTCGAGTATGGGTAGTTTGCGAAGGGATTCCTTTTCACGCGTGGAATTGGGATACTTTCAAGAACATTGCGGCTAGGTGGGGCAAATTAGTATCAATTGATGAAAGCTCTCAGTTTCCTTCATCTTTTGATCGTGCAAAACTTCAAATCCTCACAGATACTAAAGTAAGGATTGATGAGTCCTTGAGTTTGAAGGTCGGTTCTAATTCTTTTGAAATCATGGTGCATGAAGTTGAGCCTTCTTTCAAACCAAACTCTTGGATCCCTGAGGAAGTCGATGATTCTCCAGATCTGAATTGTTTTCTCGGGACAACGTTGGAGAATTCTCTGTCAGGATCGTCAGTGTCATCCCCAGGTTTAAATTGCCCCGTCGAAGATGTTGCAATTGAAGGTCCCCACTTAGAAAAGGTTTCACTCATAAAGAGTGTCATAAGCGATGAGAAACCGAGTAACAAATTGGGGTTGCACACAATAGAGGCTGGATCATTCAAAATTAAATATCGTGGAACATCTAGCTAATAAATCAGTTGATCATTCTGATGGTGTTAGCCTCAGGGCCTCGGAAGATGCTCTTATGATGGGTCTCATTACTTCTCATGGTTCATCTACTGACACATTTCAATTAAAGGAAGATATCCCAGTGGTGCCCCCTATCCCTGCGAAATTAAGAACTAATCGTGTGGCGAAGAAATGCAAGACAAAGAAAAGAGTTCTGAATTTATTGGCAAGGAAACATTAATTGAAGGGAAGGAAGTGTGGTTTTGGTTCATTAAAGATAATTATCGAGCTGATTTTTTGGTGATTTTGATACATGTTGGTATTTTTGTGGAGTTCCCTTCAAAGGCGGATGTTTTTGGTTTAATGGTTTTATGTGTTGTTTTTATGTATGTTATGTCATTAAACGTTGGGTTGTTTTCCTATTGATGGAGGTTTATCTTAGGTATAGGGTGATTGCCTTTTGATTTTTGTGGTCGAGAAGGTGAGAGCTTTAGGTGATTATGTTTTTTGTAATGGTGTTTATCCTCGTTTGAGGGTATTTCGTGTTTTCATATGTAATGAGGAGTTTTATTCAATGAAATATGAGGTACTCTTTTCTTCCTTCCTATGTTCGTTAACATACTTCTTAGTATGTGGACGAATACGAAGGGAGTTTTTAATGAGACCTCCAACTTCTATAAAAAAAAAAACATTATCTAGGAACCAGAAATCCTACCTGAGTTTTCCAATGTATTTGCTGCTAGATCTCGATATGTTATCTGCATCCATAGAGATTACATACTCTGTGCAAGTAGTTCTACGGGTCCGTTTTGCAGAAAGAAGAAACTTCCCATTTTCAACAAGCAAAGCTGCAAAGGGAAATATACCAATGATTCGGGTCACACACCCAAGTATAAATGGTACATAAATAGAAAGCAAGAAATTATATCCCCATAGGCAGGAGGATCAGAATTGTATGTAGGAAAACTAACACCATGTATCTTTAACTAGTAGGAATCAAGGAGACGATATTAGAGAAATAGTTAACCTTATTGCAAGGGAAATTAAAAAAATGATCTCAGGCCACCATGGAGCAAAGACGACAGACAAAACCTTATTTAAGTTGCATCCAGACACATGTTTAAGTTCAACTTATTCCATCAGAAAAAAAAAGACATTAGACCCCTTTCCAATTTATACATTTATTATTCGATGTTTAAAGCAAACAACTTGCTATGAACTCAACCATAGCAATTTTATTTGTGTGTAACACAGCTCAGCCACTAGTCATAGAAGATGACAACAGAAAATCCACCCATACACAGATGACAATTGTACTTAGAACCAAGATGGTTAACTAGCAGAAAGAAATCATGCACTTCCAAAGATAAATAATGTGTAGCAAACAACTAGTTGGGGAATTTAATCACAGTAATGTTCAATAGATGGCATCAAATGAGTTATCCGTTTTTCAACAGACTCTCAACTTCGAATCAAATGGCTCTAAATTTGAAAAAAAAATGCACCAGAACTGTTAGAACTACTAGCAGCAGATATTCTGTAGTCAAAAAAATTAAAACCAAGCTACACTAGAGGAATCAACAAGATGATAATATGAAAGCAGATTTACAAGGTTACTACTTACAGCAAGAAGTATTTATGGCAACATCTAGAAAATGACTTTGCAGCCTGCTACGAGTTATATTTAATATTTATTGCAGATTAAAATCATTTCTGTTAGAAGACCTTTCAGAGAGAACAGAGGGAAAATGCAAGTCAAGGAATTAATATTGCAGTTATAAGATGCTTTTCACAGCTATATTGGCATCTAAAGAAACGAGATAAATTCAAGTCACATAACAACAAACATTTTTCACCACAATGAACTTAAACTTGTCAAAATAGAAACATTAATGATAAAAAATAAATTATCGGCATTGACCGACGGGTCCAAGAAACAGGTGAAAACACCAGAGAAAGGAAGGCCGTAAGTCTCCCGACCATGCCAATGAATTTAAAGGGTGAGACTGAAAGAGTAGTAGCTTACCAGGACTAAGGCATAGGAAAAGGTGATAAGTTAAATTAGATTTGTCTCTCTTAATGAAGCATTGAATAGTTCCATCCCTATGCCCGGGCTGAAAATGATTAACAAATGAAAACATTGTCAGTCACCACTATATAGAGATGAGAATTCAACTATAAATGCTAAAACACATACAAACATACGTTTATATCAAAACAAAATAATACAGTATGGCCGACCGAGAAGCCTAATAATAAACAAATTATTAATCAATTCACCAGTTTACTATTTGAAAAAAGTTATCTTATTGCCAAGACAAAGGATCATAATTGATTAGAGATCTAACCTGCTTCAGAGAAACTGGAAATGTGATTTTCCCAGAGAACTCAGGACATCTAACAATTTCTTGGCACATTTCCCTCCATGACCTGCATACTGCAGCACAAGCAACGACATGCTTGCGAGCAGGCCATGTGCTCTCACTCGCTTCCAATCTCTTTATCACATCGCGCAACAGCTCCGGCGGAAGGCTTGCCCATCGGCTACTCTGGACAACCACCGGCTGATCATGTAACTCAGGCGATGAACCCTGAGATTTTCCCTTATGATGACCAGACAATCTCACCTCAAAACTACGCCTAGATAAGCTCCCAAAAGCATCCCTCACATCGTTAACTATACTTCGAAACGACATTTACTCTCAACACTAACAAAACCCAAAAGAATTAATTTATCCTTCAAAATGGTTTGCTTAAATTATAATTATGACTCGCTCAAATGGCAATTGCAGACCATCCAAACGCATGCACCAGCTGCAAAATCAAAGCACACACAGCGTAAACTTAGAAATTTCGAGACTGGCAGAACTATTGATAAGAAAGTAAGAAACGGATGCAATATGAAATAGAGGGAAAATCACAAAGCAAGAAAAGAAGATTCTTATAAAAGAAAAAGGTTCAATTAAAAAAATGGACGCAACAAAAAGCAACTAAAATACCTAAATCAGAAACTATCATTTTGGCGGGGTTTTAAAAACCCTAATCTCACAAAAATAGTAATAAAAACACAGTTACTCGTAATTGAAAATCTTAGCTTCTCTGTCCTTCCTATACAGCCTTTATTCAAACTGATAATCTATAAGTGCAAAAGTAAAAGAAATACAAAAAAAGAATTAAACCTTAAAAACAAGAACCAAAAGTAGCCAAAATAATTTAGAATAAAACCCAATCTTCATCAAAGTAACCGCAGCTAAGAAGAGCTTAAACCTAAGCAAAGGTCAACTCTTCCTTTCACCTCTGAGCGTTGAGGAGGGAAATATCAGACCCTTTTTTTTATAAATTACAAAATAGAAAGAAGAAAAAAAAAGCTCGAATTCAATTCTTACACTCCAACTTATAAGAAAACCACGAAAATAAATCAAAAATTAAGAGAAGAGTGAATGTAGAGTTTCTTTTAGCAAACTATTGAAGAAAAGGAAAATGAATGGTCAAATCAGAGGAAGCATAGAGAAAAGATTAGGAAAATAAATCAGATTTTGAAACTTTTGGACGAATTATACAATGAAGGGATTTGAGAAACTTAAAAGCAAGAATTTTTGTCCTAATTGAAAGGAAAACTCTATTCTTTCTCGGGAAACAAACAAAGAAGGAAAATACGAAGAGAAATTTGAGATCTAACAAGGAAATGAAAATCAAAATCAAGCAGAGCTCACCATCATTGTTTGGTTCTTCTCTTTTCAGTGTCAGATCCTCAAAACGACTTTTACCACACGCGCTTCCTCTCTCTGTTGAAAAACAAAACCACGGACTCCAAATCTTCTTAAATCTAGTTTACCAAACTTACTTTTTCAGAAATTAATAAAATGGAAAACGCAGAAACAGTTTTTTATTGCGAAATTATTGGAGTGGAGTTTTATAGTTGGCTTAATATAAAAAAAAATTGCTCAAATTATGTTTTTTCTATTTAGTTACTTAATTTTTTTTTTTTAGTATAACATTTTTAATGTTATCATTTAAGTGTCTTGATCATAACATATATTAAAAGAATTTCGTCAATCACTTAAAAGTGACACGTGATGTCTTTATAAATTTTTAAAATTTTATTTTTAAAAAAATTCCTAATTTTTTTTTAAATCTCAAAGCATCCATCTCACGTCGGTCGTCCATCGTCGTTGCCTCCCATCGACGGTCTATCCACTGACTGTATTCTACCCACCCATAAATTATCGTCAATCGTGAATTTAAATCCCAAAATTCTTAAACCCAAATCCCTAAATTCCAACACTCATCCATCCCAATCGATGAATGAATGGTCACGAGCTGGTGATCGGTACGTGAATCGATGATTGTCAGGGTGGTGATGGTCGGCATCGAAATCGAAAGTCTTGGGACATTTTATGAAAAATAGGAAAATTTTGAGTTCTTTTTAAACAGTTATGAATTTTATTTTTTTAAATAAAATAAAATAAAAAATCATGTCACATGTCAAATATTGATTGATCGACTTATTTTTTAACGGATTTTTAACGATTGCTACGATGTGGTCACCTAAATGATAACATTAAAAATATTAGATACCTAAATTAACCCCAAAAAATTTAAATCACCTAAATAATATATATATATATATATATATATATATAATTTAAACACTTATTTTTATGTTAAACCTTTTATAGATTAGTATCACTAAGAGTATACATATTGTTTACATGTTATCTTTTTTTTTGAATTAGTCACTAATATTCTGATGACCCTCCCAGCTCAGTTTGCTCATTTGAAAACGTCAAGATTCGAACACATGACTTTACTTAAAAAAATCTAGTGCATTATCCAACTAAACCAACTGATTGTTGGTTATTTACAGGTTATCTATCCTATGTACATTGTTAACAGAAGTAATTGTGTAACATCCTCAATACCGGATAAGTGACCAAATTGAAATATTTTAGAATTTGTTAGTCAAATTAAAATAGTTGAATAGTTCAATGGTTTATTTGGGGATATTTTCTGAAAGTTTTTAGTAATTATCCAAAGAATTAAAGGGCAAAATGGTCATTTGACAAGAAATATATTTTCCCCATTTATATCAATGATTCACGTGGGGAGAGTAAGATGAAAACATTTCTTCTTCTTCTTCATTTCTTCATCTCCAACCGTGGAAGCTAGGCAAATGTATGTTTCTATTTTTGTTGATTATTTGTTAAATTAAAGGTTGGGTTTTGATCATTAGATAATAACTATGCTTAAGGAAAGCTTAAGTTATCTTAAAATCAAAAGATAAAGGAGTTAGAGAAGATTAAAGATTTGGAGTTTTTGAGTGAAATCTTGAAATAGAGTTGATAAGTTGAATTTGAAGTTAAATTCGACTTGTCATCAGCTTAATTAAGAGATATGAAGTGATAGAATAAAAATTAGAATATGTTGAAAATTTGGTATGATTATTGATTTCTATATGGTGAATAGAATTTTGAGGTTTAAGATGAAATAAATGGATATAAATTAGTTTAAGTATGTATATTTGAGTTAAGAATAGAAAAGTGAACGAAGCATGAAGAATTTAAGTTGATATAGTGAATTTTCGGGCATGAACAATGATTTTCTAGGCTTGAACGAAAATTCCAGATTGTGCAGTGGGTACAGATTCCCCTAAAGAAAAAAATATGGAATTTTGGGCTTAAGTTATTAACATCAAGTGTAATGTTTAGGCTTATGATAGATGCTTTGAAATGTTATATTTATGTAGATATTGAGCCTAAACAAGTTCCAGAATAATCAAAGGATTAGGATTGAATCAAAGCAAGGCTAAGGTGAGTGCAATTTAATTTGTGCTTATAGAACGAACATTGGCTTACGATGAGCCAGTGACAGAGTTACTATGGTAAGAAGTAACTCTTAAAATGTTATAGTATGTGACATGAATTTCATGATTATATGTATGTATGTGTGATATATATGTGTTACATAAGAACATGAGAAATAAATAAGTTATGTGATAAGGGTGTAGAAAACGAAATGAAGGACATGAAATGTGTGTATGCTTGATTATATGAGTGGATATGTTCTTGTAAGTAATAAATTGCTTATGTAAATAAATGAAAAAGTGAGATAAAATAAGTAGTATTTACTTATAAGATAATAGAAAATTATGTGAACCGATAGTATTGATAGGGCACATAAGACTACATGTCTATCTTTTAATGTAATAAAAGTGATATATGTGATGTATTGGAAACATATGAGAATAAGAGATGTCATGATTTGAATGGTATATGATGGTATATATGCATGTATGCATTTTGATATATGAAATGTTTTATGGTTTTTATTACATGTTTTTATATGCCTCACTAAGTCATCGACTTAGCGTGTGATTGTTTCACACGTAGGTTTGGAAAGCGAAAAGAGAAGTAAAGATGAACAAGACATGTCAGTTCTTCTTATCGAAGATCAGATCAGAAATGTAGTTGAATTACATGTATTTGGTTATATAGAATTTAGTGTGCATGTAATATAAAAGATTTGAATCTGATATGTTTTAATCGGTTTTGTAAAATCATATGATTGAATTTTATAATGTTTTGAATGTGTATATAATGGAAATTTTATACGAATGAAACCTCAGATTTTTATAAATTTATACGTATTTTACGAAAGTACTGTAGCAGGGTATCGATTCCCTATAGAAGGGGAATTGGTTCCCCTCTTTAAATTTGGAAAATTTTAACATTCGGTACTGTAGCAGGTACTGTTCATACGGTATTGTTCATACCTTATTTTAATGTTCATAAATACGTTTTTGACTCGAAATTTTATACGAAACATAATTTAATAGAATATTGTGGTATTTTCTTAAAATGAGTTCAAATGTTTTGATATTTTGTACGAATATCGTTTTTAAAAGTCAATGTAACATCTCAGACTCGTATTCGGGTCGGATACAGGTTGGGGTATTATATTTAATGGTACCAGAGCTACGGTTTAGTCGATTTTAGGCTAAAAACGAAGTCAAAAATGTTTTAAGAAGTATGCATGCCAACACAAAGTGAAAAATTTTCTGATCTGATAGTGTAAGGAGTATAATTTATTGATAATAGAGTTAAAGTGTTATGTTATATTAGATGTATGATCATAAGAGTTTTCAAAGTAAAGCACAATGCAATAGACTGAAGGTAATAGCATTCACCTGCTCTGGCCAGGCAGGGAGAAGAGCGAAAACCTCAGAGAGTACATGTACAATATTAGAGGATATTATATGATGTGGAATGATATTTTAGTGTGTTTTCAATTTTATACTTCTATAATTCATAGAAGGAATGTATCAAAAAGAGTTGAGAACACCCGAGTTCAAGGGTGAATTTGAGAAATGTTATGATGTTGTGATAGACATTTGATTAAATGATAGGAAGATAATGTTAGAAGGTTTTCATTTCTACAGATTGGAGAAATTAAATTGAGAAGTTTTTGTTACTGTGTGGATAAGATAGAATATGGTGAACGAATGTCACCATATAAACGTTAAAAGATCAAGTGATGTGGTTATGGTTTATAGAACAGTTCAAGAATAAGTAAATTGATGACCAATTTATAAGACGAATAAAGTTAGAATATATGAGCTCGAAGCAAGGGAATTACACATGCATGTGTATGAGTATAAGTTTAATAAGTTAAACAGATTTATTGTTGAGTTGATTTTGATTAAGAAGGATAAGAAAGAATATGAGATTGGTTGTTTAGGGCTTGTGCCTTAAATTAAAAGAGTGTTATTGGTTTTGAAATTGTTCTCATTTCAAGAAATGGTTAATTGCGTTAAAGCTCTAGAGAGAGCTAAGAATAAAAGGATTGGAGAAAAAAAATCTCAGACGATTAAGAAAATTAGTGCTTCATAAAGTTAAGCACCATCAAAGAAAGATAGAGATTCTGGTTTTCAATTTTAAACCAGATATGAATTAGTTGTATTCTCCATCACAAAATCAAATCAGATGAGAGTTCGACAAACTTCAGCAGTAGGGTTTGATCTTGAAAGATTAAACAAGGATTTAATTGATAATAAGTCAGGGTTAAAGACAACCTTTGTGAATTAGGTTAAAAGCTCTATTAGAAGTTATGTAAATCGAATCATAAAAAGTATTTTAAATGGATTAGATGAGTATTTAAATCTAGTGATTGTTAAAACAAGTGGAGAAAATATAAGTATAAGAATGATAAAGAATAAGGTTGTGTTCAAATAAAGTTGACTATCAAAGTCATGAAAATGTGATAAGGAGTGATAGTTAAGGATAAATATATGTGATATAAAAGAGCATGTGAGTATGAAGGACATGATATGGTTTAGTTTTGTATAAGATAAAGGTAAATGGAATGGTTGAATTCGAACCAAAGGAATTGTATCATGGACGAGTGAGAATGAAAGTTTGATAAGTGAAGGAAATAACGAATGAATTATTTTGACTGGAAAGAATATATATATATATATATATATATATGGATAATTTGATGAGGGTTTATATTTTGATTGAAGAAATAAGTTGAATAATAAAGTAGTGTGATAATGAATGTATTAAAGTTAAAAGATTTGCATATTCGACGAAAACTAAGGATTGATAGAAAGGTTAAAATGATAAAGAAGGAAAAGTATAAATGATATGAAAGGAATGTAAAAGCATAAGGGAAAAGGTAATGATAGAATTAAAGTAATGAAGTGGAGTTTATAATAGTACGAAAGATTTATTGAAGAAGTGATATGTAAAAAGAAATAGTAGACGTGTAAATAATATTGTGTATAAGTAAGAGTGTGGATATGATAAGGGATTTACATTATAGATGGAAAAGAGTTAGCAATGGCTAACAAAATTATGT